AAAATCTAAATTGCCCATAGGTGTGAATGCGGGAGTGAATGGTTGTCTGTCACTGTGACAGACTGGCGACCTGTCCAGGGTGTACCCCGCCTCTCACCCTATGACAGCTGGGATAGGCTCCAGCACCCCCCGCGACCCTGAAAAGGATAAGCGGGAGCGAGTGGATGGATGAATTGTCACATTACATATATATTCAAAGAACCATAACAACTTGCCTTGAGGATCTTTATATTGTGAGGTAGGCCCTGCAATAATCCAGAGAATCAGACTTTCGCGACAGCGGGAAGGAAAAACTCGCTTGGAACAGGAAGAAGCGTGCAGCAGAACCAAGCTCAGGAAGGGAGCTGTGGGGTTAGGGGGAGGAAGTCGTGAGAAAACAGGATCAATAATAGTAAGAGGTGTATAAACGCTGTCTGTGACCTCCGTCTCTCTTCCTTCCAGGTTTGAAGTCTCTCGGTATGACCATCGCGCAGTGCTACGAGGAGGTCGGCCTTCTGCTCCTCTTCCTTGGTGTGGGCATCTCCATCTTCGCGACCGCAGTCTTCGCCCTGGAGCACGACCTTCCTGCCACCACCTTCACCAGCGTTCCCACCGCCTGGTGGTGGGCGACCACGTCTATGACCACGGTGGGCTACGGGGACGTGCGGCCCGACACGGCGGTGGGTAAGGTGCTCGCCTTCCTCTGCATCCTGTCTGGGATCCTAATCCTGGCGCTCCCCATCGCCATCATCAACGACCGCTTCTCTGCCTGCTACTTCACCCTGAAGGTGAAGGAGGCGGCGATACGACACGGCGAGATGCTGAAGCGGCTGGCCCGTGGCTCGGTGGGGGAGGCGGGGCCGGGCGTGAACCTGAGGGACGCCTATGCCCGGGGTGTGCTGGAGATGATGAGGCTGCACGGGCGGGAGAGGGCGAGCACTAGAAGCAGCGGGGGCGACGAGCTGTGGTGGTAGCAAGAACAGCCCCGCCCCTATGACCTCTGACCCCTCTGAGAAACACACACACGATGACCCCAGCAGCAGCACGCTGTACATTCTGTGTGTCATGTACAGTATGTGTCCAGCAGCAGCGTGTTCCCGTTTAACTCATGAATTTATTTACAAAACACATTTTCTCTCTGAACATTAGTCCCGCCCCCAAAATAAAACAGGTGGCGCAGATGTCTTCCTGATGTGCAGTGGGTGTAACTCTGCAAGTCTGAACAATCCTCAGATGAGCGCACTCAGGCTTGTTCTGATTGGCTGTTGGGTTTGTCTTACACGTCTCAGATGTCTAACATTAAATCTGTGCTTTGATCTTAAGCTACATTCACACGTTTCCCTCAGAGGCAATGAACCTTGTGTTCAATCATCATCGTCACGATCAATAAAGCTTTATTCAAGGATGGTTTGTGATTCATTTCTGTCATGGTGTCGATGTGGAAGGTAAATAAAATACAGACTCGGGGGGAGGAGATTAACTGAAAGCTAGCCATCATTATAAAATTACTCATTACTAACGAACATTAGTATATCATCATCATCATGATCATTATTATTATGTCATCAGCTGTTATTATAATGTTATTACGGTACACTAATATTATTATGTCATTCAATTCCGTTTTATTCAAACAGCGCCAAATCACAACAACAGTCGCCTCAAGGCGCTTTGTATTGAAAGGTAGACTCTACAGAGAAAAGCCCAACAACCATATGACCCCCTATGAGCAGCACTTTGGCGACAGTGGGAAGGAAAAACTCCCTTTTAACAGGAAGAAACCTCCAACAGAACCAGGCTCAGGGAGGGGCGGGGCCATCTGCTGTGATTGGTTGGGGTGAGAGAAGGAAGACAGGATAAAACAGTGGTCTCCAACCCCCGGGCCACGGACCGCTACCAGTCCATGAGTCGTTTTGTACCGGGCCCTGAGAGTTGAGGCTCGGGTGGGAAATTTATGGGGTGGTTTTTATTGTTTTTATTGTTAACTCGGTTTCCCTGGGTCTTTTCCTGTATGTTATGGATAAATATTATTTTTTCTGGTACAGGTACTGGTTTTATTTTGTTGTATTTATCTGCGACAAGTAAATATCTACAATAACTATTTTATACAAACACTGGAAAAAACAGAGAACAACATCATGGAAAACAAAACAGGAAGTAAAACTGGGACGCAAAACTGAACGACAAAAACAAAGAACTAACAAGCATAAAAAACCATAATTGAAAACGGCCCAGGACCACAACGGTTCCTCTGTTTAAAACTTGTCACTGATGCAGACTCGGAGACTTCAGGGAGCTGCAGAACTGAAGAGTGCAAATATCTGAGGCTGAGCCCAACGAAGCAGCAGAGACATGAGCCCTCAAACACGTCACTGTGGGTAAAAAGTGTGCTGCAGACCAAGCTGGCATCCAGTGAAGGCTTTCTTAGTCCTGCGTGGACAGTGTTGGTGAGTAACAGAGTACATGTGCCGCCGTTACGTATTTGAAATACAGAATATGAGTAACTGTATTCCGTTACAGTTACCGTTTAAAAAGGTGGTATTCAGAATACAGTTACTTTGTTGAAATAAATGGATTACACGGCGGTACTTTCCTGTTTCATATGTTCGGCTCTGCTCTCTCTGTTTTTGGTTTCCACGCCCCAAACTAAACACACATTAAGAAGCTCTAATGTCTGTGTTTCAATCTCACGGCCCATGTCACCTCTACATGCTGCTGCATAATGACGGGAAGAAATATTATTGTTCAAAACATGATTTTAATATGAAGGCAACAGGCAGAATGCTACAGGTATAGCCCTTAAGCATGTAGCCTGATGGGCAGTGTAGTCCGTGCTGCAGGGAGAATGGACTGCCGTACCCGTGATGTGTCTGTGAGCGAGGGAGGGAGAGAAAGGAAAAGTACGAGCTGTCAGGGAGCAGAAACGGGAGCTGGAAGCATGTAAATATAATAATAACCACTGCAGCCAAACAGAGAGCCTGACGAGCCCAGCTGTGAGTAAGCTGTTAAGACTCGACTGTACGCTGTGTTCCTGTTTTCCTCTGAAACAATAAAGTTCTGTTGCAGCAGCCTTTCGACGCCTCTCTCTGTCTCTCGCTAGCAAAGTGAAGCTAGTTTTCAGCTACGAGCCCGACACGAACCCGACGTATCAGCCAGAGGTCCCTTTACTACGGTTCGGAGCCGCGGACCTGTTTTATATACGCGAGGAATAGTTTCTATACGAGATCGCTGCAAAAAGTGCAGCCTTACCTAATGTCCACCTACTGTTACTCATTCATATTAAGATTTAAACATCTGGTTGGTGTTGGTGTGGAGAGTAACCTTCAGTAATAGTAATAAATCACACAGCAGTAGGACGTCACTGTCATGAGACACACTCGCAAAAGAATAGTAACGCAGTAACGCAGCGTGCTTACAGGAAAGTAACAGTAATCTAATTACCTTTTTTGCAATAGTAATCCCTTACTTTACTCGTTACTCGAAAAAAGTAATCGGATTACAGTAATGTGTTACTTGTAACGCGTTACTGCCCATCTCTGGCGTGGACACCAAGCTAACTGCTGAAGACAGGAAATAGTCTTTTATTCTGAAAGGCTCAATGTGCACAATTCAATTCAATTTTATTTCTACGCCATTCATTTTCAAGATGGCGCCGAGTATGGCAGCCTCGTCGCGAGCTCCCCCAAGCAACAGCTGTTTTCTGTGTTTAATTTTACTTTTCCTTTATTTTTTCACGAGTAGCACGTGTCTCCTTGTGTACGACCGACAAACCTTACTGGACATAAAAGACGGTCTTTCTTATAACTTTCCGGAGTTCAAGTTTTGCAACACGGACGCTCCGTTCGCAGACCCCCATTCATCTCACCTGAGACGCCTTTGTTCTCTGGCTGTTGAAATCTCCCAATTCTTTGAATCTTTGGGCTGAAGGAAGGACAATACTCGGTGTATTTATGCTCAATCAACAATACTTTATTTCCATACAATTCAACACTTAAGAGCATAAGAACCATCATGATGGGGAGACATGCCTGAAGAGGGTCACCGCAAGTCTCGAAATGGTGACGTGTTACTCAGCTTCTTATAGCTGCTAGTGGCCCCCACCTAGTCGTAAAAGCCCAAACATTCACATTCTTTCTCCCTTACGGCGCCTAAGTTATGACCTCGGCTCATTGCTCCTCTGCTCTACAGAAGGTGGGGGTAGGGAATGTGATCTACCTCCCCTACTCTAGACACAAAGTCTCCTTCTGTTTATGATTCAGCAATAAAACATGTCAAGAACACAGTATGAGACATTCACAGCAGATCAAGGATACAGAGTGATGCACACTTATCTAATAAACTAATAAGTGAATATGTTCTTTTAACTCAAAAGTATAATGAGAACTAAACTACATACACAGCACACCATCT